CTCCACTCCCCAACCTCGGGTTGGAAAATGAGCTGCTCTGCCTTTTGCTGCCAACTCACAGGGTCTCAGGGAAACCAGCTGGGGACCTGGAAAGTTCTCTAAGCAAATAGTACCCATTCCTCAGATCTGCCATAAACAATGTGGAAGAAATCAACACAGTCCAGTCACACGTCTTTTTTTTTCACTTTCCCATCACTGTGGGACTCTTGTCCTGCTATCAAGAATCCCGCCGGGCCAGCACTCCTCACCTCATCTCTGAGGGAAGGGTCCCTGTACGCCACGTCAGACAGCAACGTCACCAAGCAGAAACTGAAGTTCTCTGCAACAGGGAGGGTGCCTGGAAGAGGGAAAGACATAAAGCAGACCATAAGAAATGGGATGCTGGGTCAGGTCCCATCAACCACTCAAAGGGCGATCGGTGCAGGAGATCCTGGACAGAGTTGGTGAACGATGTGGACCAAAACTCCAAATCACAGAAGAGACCAGGTTTGCTGGTCTGATAGAGCCTGGTGAGACCCCTGAGTCTATGGCCCCAGTTGTCCTTCACATTTGGAATTGAACCCACTCGCATGGCTTCCAGCCAAACAATAAGCATATGGGGTGAACATTTACATGAGGTAGATACACTCCTTGGAGTGAACAACTGTAGGAGAACAGAAGGGCAGTGCTTGCACAGGGAGACAGCTCAGAAGCCAGGAGTGCACAGGAAAGGCCATAGGGAAGAGATAGCCACAGGAAGGAAGTGGGAACAGAGCTGTTACATGGTGGGGACTGCAGTCAATGTCATGAGACAAAATGTGTATGAACTGCTGTACGGAAAGTGAATTTGCTCTGTAAACTCTCACCCAAATCACAACTGAAAAAAATAAAAAAAACACAACGATATCAATTGACACCTATTCAGAAGGCCAGAATCAGAGTCCAACAAACAACAGAAAGTGTTGTAGGGAATGTGCGTAAATTGGGATCCTCGTGAACGATGGCAGGCATGTAAAATGATACACCTAGTTTGGACAACAGGCTAACGGTTCTTCAAACAATTAAACCCCAAATTACCATATGATGCAGAGATTCCACTCCTAGGTACATACCCAAGAGAAATGAAAACATCATGAGTATTTATAACAGTGCTGAACAGTCAAAAGGGGGAAACCACTCAAATGTCCATCAACTGACAAATGGACAAACAACACGTGGTCAATCCCTGCAA